ATTGAGAAGGGCTTCTATAGTTATGTTGCAAGAGAGCTGGGATAATGTGGGCCCCCTCCAGAAGGAAACAAGAGACCTGACTACCCTGGACAAAGAGAAGACTCAGGTTTCTCAAGGACTTCTGTGGAAGTGGAAGGACTTCTGTGCCTCATTGTCTTTGATGGCAAGTGTTCCAGCCATGCTGCCCAAGTTGACAAAGGCAAATGCAGGGACTGGGAGAATGATGACCCTGAGCCCACAGAAAGGATATGATGCAAGGTCATGTAAGGAACCTGAATGTGCTCAAGTCCATGGGACCTGAAGAGATACATCCCCAGGTCCTGAGGGAGCTAGTAGAAGTTGCTAAGCCATAATCTATCTTTTTTTTTTTAAAATCGTGGTAGTTAGGTACTAAGTCCCTGATGACTGGAAAAAAGGAGATAAAACGCCCATTTTTAAAAAGGGAAAGCAGACGACCTGGGGAACCACTTCTACCCAGAGCAATGGTGATAGTGCTGCACAGCCCCATGGAGCTGCTTCTCCTGTCTGGTTCTACAAGATCTTCCACTTCTATCATCCTCTTCCTCACAGGCTCCACAGGACAGCTGTTGCCCAGCTCTGAAGATTCATGGACATTTCCCAGACATTTATTTGGAAAGATGAGGATGTGTTGTGATGGTGTGAGACCTGAGCAGGACATACACAACATGGAATAACAAAGTCTGGAGAACATGCTGAGTTGGCCAGGAAGAGTTCAATTTCTTCCAGTGGGCCTGTGGTTTGGATTTGTGCTGAAAAGACTGTTGATAGTCCCAGGATGTTTCAATCAGTGCTGAGTGTCAAGGCCTTTGCTGTTCCTCACACCATCCTGCCAGCAAATAGGCTGGTGTTGCACAAGGGGTTGGGAGGAGATAAACTCTTCAGAAGGACACAGCAAGGAAGGAGAAGCAGTGGGGTAGCCCTGTATATGAGGGAGTGTTTTGACTGTCTAGGAACTGACAGTGGTGATGAAAGGGTTGAGGGTTGATGGGTAAGAATCAAGTGGGAAGTGGGAATCTTCCCAGACACAGAGGGAAAGCTGGTAGGCAGATTGATAGTTCCTGGGGTCCTTCATTCCACCCTCAAAGTAGGGTGCAATGAAGTTTACTGTTTTGTCCATAGCTTTCCTTCTATGACAAAGGACCTGCTTGGTGGGAGAGGGAAAGGCTGGGGATGATGTTTATCTGGGCTTTTGTTAAGCCTTTGACACCATTCCCCAAAGCATTCTTGTGGAGAAACTGGCTGCCCACGGCTTGGACATGTCCACAGCTCACTGTAAAAAAGGGTCTGGATGGGTAGACCCAGAGAGTGGTAGGGGACAGTTTAATTCAGTCCCTGGTTCAGACTGGTATTCAGTCACCAGTGGGGCTTCCCTGGGCAGCACCGAGATCAGTCCTGTTTCTATCAGTGACCTGGAGGAGGGGACCCTCAGCCAATTTGTAGAGAACAGGATCTTCCAGAGGACATGAAGACTCTACAGAGGGATCTGTAGAGGCCGAGGGATCTGCTGTCCCAGGCAGTTCCCTACTCCCCTACCCCTCATTCTTACTACACCCTTTTTCTCACCTGGGTCCAGCATCGCCACCACCATTGGGACTTAAAGCAGATGCCGAAGCACTGGTGGCACTGAACACGGCGTGTCTGCCAGGCTTCCAGGTATCTCTGAAGGCAGGCATGAAGCTGCCAGGAACCTTCCAGCAGGAGTGCTGCTGCTGTATTCCAGCTCCATTGAAATGCTGCTCCTGCTTTCCAATACACTGGGATTCAAGATCACTGTCAGTCTAGGGAGCAACCCGGCTATCGCCACAGATCTTTTGCGTTCCAGCATCATGGAGTTGTTGCTGCTGCATCATCTTATGTTCTTAGTTTTGTCCTCTTCTGTCACCTTATACGTGTCTGGCATTGCCAACTCCACTCCAAGGCAACACTCTCTGACCCCCAGCAGCCTTGGCATAACATACAGACCAGCATGGACCACGCTGCCGCTCCCCCTGCCCCATCACCGCTGGGCTAGCTGTGCCTCCAGCTCCTCGCGCTGCTCCTCAAAGAGCGCCCGGGAGTCCCGGCAGCTCCGGATGAACCTTGGGAAACGGCTCCTGGAGCTGATGGAACTGCCTGGGGAGCTAGCTCCATGTCTGCTGATCTCCGTGCCCTGTCCACATCGCTCTGCCCCTGCAGCCGGCCTCTCGCTGCACTTGGGTGCTTTGAGTTCTGACGGATCCTCTGCAAGAAGCACGGATGGTTGAGACAAGAGCAGCTCCCCAGAACGCTCTGCTTTGTCCTGTCACGCATGCCACACCAACACACCCCAAAGCCACCCTTGCCCAGCCCAGCCCACACAGCAGATCAAAGGCCACCTACCCACAGACGCTTGTCCCGTAGCGTGACAGTGACCAGGATGAGCTGCAGCACCACCATCGTCATTGCCAGCAGCTCTCCCACGGTGAACATGCTGAGGATGCCCATGGCACTGTCTGTAGCACTCCAGGTCACCAGCACAGGCCGGGGAAGAGGCTCCCCAGAGACATGTGGGGCCCCAGTGATGGAAATCCAGCCCCACCATGGTGGGAGGCTGAGGCTGCTGTCTGCCAAGAGACACTGCCAGATTGCTGTGCCCGGCACTGTCTGCTCCTGGGGCACCCCTTTTACAGCCTGGCAGTCTGGCAGAGTCCCCTGGGTGACATCACGGTGATGAGTTCGGCGGGAGACAAGCAGCACTCAATATGAATGATCAGCAAGTCTCATTTATTGGCAACTCCAAACTCCCTATATAACATCAATAATTAGGCTCATACATAGTGCAAAAGCAAGCTCATTATTGGGTATTTCATTTAAGGTCAACTCCACCTAGTTCCACATTCTTGTGGTTATTCATCTGTGCTGAATCCACATTCTTCTGATCGCGGTGTCCTGTTCTCAGTTCACAGTTATCACTAAGGTCTTTCTGACCTTGCAACATCTCATACCAACTACACTCTACTGTTGTTTAATTCTTTCTCAGCTAATTGCTGCATGGGAACATGACCTTTGTTAGCTAGCCACTCTTCCACATCACGGGGCAGCCAGGACCCTCTTTGTGACAGCACAGGGCAGTCAGAAATCCCTCTATGACACCCAGGAGTCCAAGGGAGAGCCCTCGCTGCCTTGGGCACAATGACCGGGCATTCCATGTTGCCCTGCTGAAACCTTCAGGATTCTTTAAGTCAGTCAAGTCATAACAATTTCATTTGATATCATAAATCTGTTTTCATTGGACCTGTAATTGCTGGGAGCAGGAGGAAGTTAACTGCTTCATGAAATAGATCTCTTTTGAATAGATGATTTGTCTCAATGTCATGAGCCTCCATGACACAATGGAAGAGATCATGCCCTTGTGCTGGGCTCTGGTGAGGTGGACCTCAAATTCTATATTCAGTTTTGTGTCCCACACAACAATAAAGACACTGAGGTTACTGAAGTGTATCCAGAGAAGGGCAATGGAGCTGGGGAAGGGCCTTGTGCTTTAACCCCAACTGGCAATTCAGTAAGGAAAAAAAGGTGAGAAACTTATAAGTTGAGATAATTTAATAAATTGAAACAAATTCCAAAAATATTGGATGAGAGGAAAGAAACAGAGAAGAAAACCAAACAAAGTAAATGTTAACAATTTCTCTGCACCCAACAACTGATGTGCAGTCTGTCAGACAGTCATCATGGAGTCACAGACTGGTTTGGGTTGGAAGCAACCTTAATGACCATCAAATACCACCACCTTGCCATGGGCAAGGACACCTTCCACTAGACCAGGTTGCTCCAAGCCCCATCCAACCTTGCCATGAACACTTCCACACAAAGGGCAGCCACAGCTTCTCCGGGAAACCTGTGTAGGGCCTCACCACCCTCACAGGGAATAATTCCTTCCCAATATCCCATCTATCCCAGGCCTCTGGCAGAGGGAAGCCATTCCCCCTTGTCCTGGAGTGCCAGGCCCTTGTCTAAAGTCTGTTTCCAGCTCTCTTGAAGTCAAAGGCCCTAAGATCTCCCTGGAACCTTCTCCCCAAGCTGAACACTTCCAGCTCTCTCAGCCTGTCTCCAGAACAGACAGGCTCCAGCCTTTGAGCATCTCTGTTGCCTCCTCTGGACTCATTCTAGCAGCTCCACATCCTGGCCAAATGCCATCCAGAGGGACCTAGACAAGCTCAAGAAGAGGGCCTTGGGAATCTCATGAGGTTTAACAAGACCAAGTGCTGCTGCTGCACATGGGACATCTCCCATGTCATCAGGACAACTCCCAGTATCAAACCAGGCTGGGGGATAAAGAGATCAAGAACAGCCCTGGCCAAGAACTTGGGGATGCTGGTGAACAAGAGGCTGGACATGCCCTAGCCCTGTGTGCTGGGCTGACCCCACAGTGTGAGCAGTAGGGGAGGCAGGGATTTCTCACTTCTGCCCTGTTCTGGTAAGATCCCACTGCAGTGTTGCCTGCAGCTCTGGGGTCCCAGCACAGGAAGGATGTGGAGCTGCTGGAGAGAATCCAGAGGAGACCCCAAGATGATCAAAAAGATGGAGCACCTCTATGCTATGAGGAAAGACTGGGAGAATTGGGATTGTTCAGCCTGAAGAAGAGAAACTTTGGAGTGACCTAATTGTGGCCTTGCAGTAGTTGAAGGGGGCCAACAAGAAAGATGGAGAGATTATTTACAAGGGCCTGGAGTGACAGGACAAGGGAGAACAGCTTCTCAGTGAGACAGAGTAGGTTTAGATTGGATATTGGGAAGAAATTCTCCCCTGTGAGGCTGGTGAGGCCCTGGAACAGGTTGCCCCAAGAAGCTGTTGCTGCCTCATCCATGAAAGGGTCCAAGGCCAGCAGACTGGATGGGTCTTGGAGTAACCTGGTTTAGTAGAAGGTTTCCCTACCTATGGCAGGAAGGTGGAACAGGATGATCTTCACAGCGCCTTCCAACCCACACTGTTCTTCACCTTTAAGGACTACTGCTGCCAGCTGCTTCTGAGGTACTTTATTTACAGCAACACAAAGCCATAAAAACGTAACAGCCAGAGAGGTGTGAATTCCTTACTGTAACTGTCCCTCCTGATCCCACCTTCACAAATGCATTCTAGATACAAAGCTTTTGAGGAAATATTGTGCTGCTTCTGAACCTAGAGTGAATAGATGTCTCCCCACAGTGCAGTAGCATGGTTCAGCCAGCCCTGCTTGGTCCCACTCAGTGACTGATGAGGATGCTGCTGAGGCTTAGCGAGACAGGTTCTGGGTTCAAGTGTGTCCCAAAGGAGAAGCAGTTTCCACCACCGCCAATGACCAACAGCTCCTTCTCATTCGGCAGAAAGACACTGCTATGATTATGTAGCATTAATGGCCACTCCAAGTGCTCCTGAAACAGGAAAGGAGATTTTGAACATACAGGAGTTCACGTGGTCCACCGTACTACCCATGAATGTGGGCAAGAAGAGGTAGTTAAGAGAATACAGGAACAAGTAACCCCTGAGGTGTACTCCTCCACGACACCCTCTCACCCGCCTACTTGCAGTCCAGTGATTTTTTTAATGAGAGAAAATGTCTTTGTACTCCATAAATCTTAATGCTTTTCCTCACAAGAAGGTAGCCAGTCAGTTTTTGATTCAGTGGAAATATTTGGCATTCATGGCCTGTGGCAAGGAGTTCCAGAGCTTACCTAGGTATCTGGTAGGTTCAAAAGTCTAGACAGTTTCACCTAAGCCAAAGCAAACAGCTCATGAGGAAAGGAAGACACCAATCCATCTGCATCCGCTTATTCAGTGTAAACAAAAAAGTTTTATTCTTTTAGGTACAACTTTACTATCACTGTACCTATCCTCACTGCTGTCCAACAAGGGCAGTCTATTTTATCTAAAGGATATGAGGTCACTTATAACTTCTGCTACAAACAATAATTGTTAAATTAAATTAAGCACGTTTCATGCTTTTATACCCTCAGCAAAATGCTGCAAGGTCAACTAGATGCATATATGCTGTCCACTATAGAAAACTGACCCGTCACAAATTCGTTTCACCAACGACAGGTTCCATGTGTAAAGTTATCAAAAGAAAGTTGTTTCTTTACAAAAAAGATAAATAAAAACATGTCAAGCAAAAGAAACGTTCCTATAGAATCACAGAACGGTTTGGGATGGAAGAACCTTAAAAAGGACCTTGCTCCACCCCCCCGCACTGGGCAGGGTCAGCTTCTGCTAGACCAGGTTGCTCCAAGCCCAATCTAACCTGGCCTCAAACATTCCCAGGGATGGGACAGCCACAGCTTTTCTGGGCAGCCTTTGTCAGTGCCTCACTATACTATTCATAAAAAATTTCATCCATACACCTAGTTTGAAGCTACTGTCCTTTAGATGAAAACCACCACCCCTTGTCCTATCACTACAGGCTCTGCTAAAAAGTTTGTCCCCATCTTGCTTACAAGCCCTGCTTTAAGTACTGGAAGGGGCTCTAAGGACCCCCCGGAGGCCTCTCTCTCTCTCTCCAAAGGCTGAACAACCCCAACTCTCAGTGCATCCTCACAGGAGATCAGCTCCAGCTCTAGGATTGATGATCTTTGTGGTCCTTCTATGGATTTCATCCAACAGATCTACTCAAGATTTTACTCAAGGCAGTATTATCTGAGATGAGGGCTACTCAGAGATGTAGACCAAGTTTTGCCCAGAGTATGCCAAAATCCTGCTGTGTGACACCACCTGTATGACTGTTCTTCAGTGATTCATAGAAGAAAGTCACCAAATAGTTAAAGTTGGAAGGACCCTCCAAGCATCATTCAGTCCATGTGTTCACAGACCATGTGTTCAAAGCAGGTTCAACTCAAGCAAGCTTTTTGGTACTCCACACCATGGAGTACCTTGCCCGTTTTCAAGTACCTTCAATAATAGAAATACAACAGCCTCCCTGAGCAATCTGTTCAGCGTTCAATCAAACCTACAGGAAACTTTCACATTCCAGTGGAGTTTCCAGTATTTCTGCGCTAGCTTTATTCTCCTATTTCAGGCAGCAGCTTCAGCACACTGCAGTTTCCACCAACAAATTCCCAATGAAATTATACGAAAGACCTCCATAAACACTAACTTAGCCCCTGGTTTATCTATTCCCCTCCTCCACAGACATCCTCAAGTGACTATGCTTGTGCCCATTTCAGTTCTGTTGCCCCTTGTCTGAAACAGAGCAGCTCCATGTTCCAGTCTTCTGCACATTCCATCTCTCCCTCTCTTAATAGTGATTAAGTTCTCTGCGCTGGGATCTGACCGCTCCATAAAGCTGCCATGGTTCTTCACAGGCCACTGCTTGACTTGAAAGGAAGATTTCAGTACTTACCACATCAATCACATAGTTCAAGCAGAGACCAGTCATTAAATCAATGACAGTGACACCTGGCACACAGGATGCATGAAACCACACTCCACCAACGAGCAGAAGCTTTCCTTCATGCACATGTGCAGTATGTGAATACCTGTGAATTCAAAATGAGATTGAAGGAAGGTTGAACTACTTGGCCTTTAAGAGGTCCCTTCCAAATCAAACTATTTTATCATGCTGTGAATGCCTTCTGCTTACCTTGGGACAAGAGGAGGGTGTGTCTCTATTGTCTGCCACTGTAAGCCATGTTCAAGCTGCCTCAAAAGAAAAACTGAACCCAAGGGCTGCTCAGCTGCTCCCAGACCTCCTGCAATCAGCACACCTCCTTCCCAGCTGCAGGCACTGTGAGAGTGGCGGCTTTCTGGGACTGGGCCCTCAACAGCAATCTAAAAAAAACACAAGTCCAAGGCTGAAGTTTGCCAAGCTAAGTGTCTGCTTAATGACAAAGCTTTTAAATGCCTTCTCCTGTGTGGCTGAGTTTTTTGACACCCAACCTTTTCCACATGTTCCTCTAGGGACTGCTACATGCTTCCATTTACACTATCTCTGGCCCCAGTACATTTAATATAATCAGCATTTAGAGGGTTTCTTTCCACACATTTATTAGAGGTAACTTTATCTGCATTCTTGCATGCTGCTTTCTGCTCAAGACATACCCCTGGGAACTACAAGTTTGTTTACCAACACATGGACTAAAGCATTGACTGGCAAAGCAGGTGATCAGTAGCACAAATCACAAAGTGGTATATAAGGCTCAATTGCAGGACTAATCCAGAAAGAAAACCTCTGGTGCAGGCACTAAAGGAAAAAATGTAAGATCAGACATTAAAGGAATATCACAGCAAATAAGTTATGGAGAAAAATTTAGAGGCCATGTGGTCCATACCTTTTCCCCAAAACAAATAAAACTCTATCTGTTATCATCAGGATGGATGCTTACATAATAGTTTCCAAAAGTCTGCAGTAACAAGAATTTCTCACCTCTTTAGGCAGTCTATTGCAGACTCAGCTAGCTTCACGATCAATAGCTTTCCTTAGTGTCCAGCTGATTCCCTGTACTATTCAAAGTTAAAATTGAGAACAATTTTGGTCTTCTCTGCAGCAGTATTTTAGATATTACAAGATTTATTTCCATCTTGAATCTTCTCCAGATTCAAAAGCTAGAAGACCTTCAAGACCTTCTCCTGTGAAGTATGTGGCCTGGTCACTCTTGCTACATACCTCTGTATAGCTGGTTTACACCCTGTCCACCTCTTTTTCAGCAATCAGCTTTGGGTTTTTTTACAGGAGTTCTGCTGAAATTAGAAACACTGTAGAAAATAAAAGCAGCAATTCGTGTGTCCACCAGATAACATTTCTGGTTACTTATCTGAAGACACAGTGTAGGCCTCCCACAGCAGTTTAGCTGTTACTTTAGTTACTCATGTTTAGCTTGTGGCCTCCTGCAATTATGCATCTCTCACCCTATAACTGTGCTATATAGAAGGGTGGGCTCAAAGAGTTATAGTAAATAGAGTTACATCAGGCTGGTGGCCAGTAAGTAAATGAGGGAGTAAGTCCTTTCAGTCATTTCCTTTTATGACACATTCAGCAATATAGTTGACTGAGGCAAACCAGCAGATGTGGAGGTGGTTTTGATTGTAGCAAAGCTTTTTATACTGTCTCTAACAGTATCCTTCCACAAAAATGTCCAGCTCACAGCTAGACAAGTCCATGATGGGAGAGGTGAAAGAAGACAGAGACAATATGTTCTCAGTAGCATCCATCAACAGGAAAGAGGCAATGGGCACAAACTCACATAGAAAAAGATACACTTAAACATAAAACCTCCTCATATTGTTGTAACAGGGTGGTTAAGTACTGGAATAGGTTACCCAAAGAGACTGTGGGGTCCCTGACCCTGTCTTAATGGAGATAATCCCACGTGGACAATATACCAAGCAACCTGCTCTAGTTAGACCTTTTAAGCAAGAGTGCTGGACTAGATGACTTCCAGATGTCCCTTCCAACCTCCACTGTTCTCTAAAGACTGTATTTGACTAAAAAGCTGGGTGTTTAGAAGTCAGCTCTAATCACCATGGAGTACATTCTTACCACAGTGTAGGAGAGCTCTGGAGTGTGCAGGAAAAACCAATCCCCAAGCACAGGCTCCAGAGCAGAGCGGCCACCATACACAAACAGGTACTGCTCACCTATGGAAACAGACAACCAGGTGGTAACAGAAGTTAGAATATGGTATGCCACAAAAGCAAAAATTTCTCTTTGCATAGAAGGGAAGCTGACAAAAAGGCTGCAATAGTACTTTGGGTAGATGTAAAGGACATGCATTCACTGCACTATGCCCTGTCCTTCCACTGATTTGGAATGGATTGTTCAGATAATACCAGTGTTGGTCACTTTCTTCACCTACAAAGCAATACCAGGGCAAAAATAAGATGAAACAATACAGTCTGACAAAGAGAAAACCCAATGTATTATTAATAAAATTTTATTTACCCATTTAGCACTTGCTTTTTTGATATAAAATTCTGACTGGAAGGCTGAATGCTACGGTGTTAATTAAACACTGCTCCACAAATGGAAAGTGTGCTCCAGACTAGACTAACGTCCTCTTAACAATTCCCTTCTGCTCCCCTTGGAGCGTTCCCTGCCAGCTGCAGGAATGGGACACCTTAGGAAAGGACAGCTTTCAGCTCCTGAATGCCACTGCTTAAGTTTTTGCCCCTTACAACCAGGATCTTTAAACAGACCAACCTTTAGCTTGCAATTGCAGGACCTGATTCTAGAGCTGTTCACAACTACTGAGTGTTTGTCAATTGCTACTAGAAAATAACATTTCTTCTGAAGGACTTGTTGATAAAGAGCTAGGGATCCTGATCCCCAAAAAATATCCTTTGGAGAGAGCAAAACTTATTTCTGGTGTGATCAAGCAAGCACAACTTCAGCCATAGATGATCTCAAAGAATCAGTCTTCCAGAATGGATTACATTAGGTTTCAATCCTATTTGCCACTGGGGATTAGATAGATAACAAAATAAAAGATTACTATATTTCAAGTGTCAAGAAGAGATCTTAAAGCCTCTTAATTTCTTTCTTACTGCCAGGCTTGAGGAGTGGTCAATATGAACTTCATGAAGTTCAACAAGGTCAAGTGCAAGATCCTGCCTACCTACAGCCACTTCCATTCTTTCCAGGCTTTTTACCTTTGAATGTAATTTCAGTTGTGCTGTGTCTCCAACGCAAAGCTGCTGCTTCAGCAGCAGGCTGCAGACTTACAAGCTCCACTCCAACATCATCTGGGCCAGCATTACAGGTTTTGGGGAATTTCAGCCACAACATTCCCAAGCCTGCGCTCGATGGGGATGTTCGTCCTCCTACCACAAGGGCCAGAGTGTCTGAGAGACAAGACACAGTATGGTACAACCTCTCACCTGTGGAGATACAAAATGTCATGGTTCATACAGGCGTTTTCCCAAGAAATTGATAATAATTTAAGTTGGAAAAGACCCTTAAAGATTATCAAGTCCAACCATTCCTCCAGCACTCTCGTGGCCAAAACTAAACCATGTCCCCAAGAGCCACTTTCACATGGCTTTTAAAACTTTCCAGGGACGTGAGCACTCTTGTGGCCAAAACTAAACCATGTCCCCAAGAGCCACTTTCACATGGCTTTTAAAACTTCCCAGGGACGTGAGCTTCACCACTACCCTGGGTAGCCTGTGCCAGGCATGGATGACCCATTTCTTAAGAGACATTTTTCTCAATATCCAAGCTAAGCCTCCCCTGGCACAGCTTGAATGTCCTGTCCCTGGTCTCTTGGGAGAAGAGGTCGACCTCCACCTGGCTACACCCTCCTTTCAGGCAGTCGTAAAGAGTGAGAAGTTTGCCCCAAACCTTCTTTTCTTTAGGCTGAGCACCCCCTCCTCCCAGTTCCCTTGGCCACTACCACAATGAGCTTATAGCAGTGGTGGATGAGGGAAGAGCAACAGGTATCATCTACCTGGACTTGTACAAAGCATTTGACACTGTCCTGCCCAGCATCCAGTCTCTAAACTGGAAAGACGTGGATTTGGCAGATGGACCGTTTGGTGGATTAAGAACTGGCTGGGTGGTCTCATTCAAAGAGTCACAGTCACCAGCTCAGTGTCCATGTGGAGACCAGGGATGAGTGCTGTTCTTCAGGTCTCCATAGGGACCAGCACTATTTAGCATCTTTGTTGGTGACATGGAGAGTGGGATCAAGGGCAGCCCCAGCACATTTGCCGATGACAAGGAGCTGTGTGTGATGACAAGGAGGTGTGGTCATGTGCTGGAGGGAAAGGAAGTGGCATCCAGAGGGACCTGGACAGGAGAGGTGGGACTGTGCCAGCCTCACGGAGTTCAGCAGGACCAAGGGCAAGATCCTGCACCTGGGTTGAGGCAATCCCAGCACAAATACAGACTGGTCAGAGAACGTATCAAAAGCAGCTCTGGGGAGGACTTGGGGGTGTTTGTAGACAAAAAGTTCAACATGACTTGGCAGTATGTGCTCGCAGCACAGAAAGTCAGACACGTCCCAGGCTGCATCAAAAGACACATGGCCAGCAGGTCGAGGGAGATGATTCTCACCCTCTATGCTGCTCTTCTGAGACCCCACCTAGAGTTCTGCATCCAGGTCTGGTGCCCCCAGCACAATAAAGACATGTAGATGCTGGAAAAAATTCAGAGTCCACTAGCTTAATCACAGGGCTAAAGCCCCTCTGCTCTGAAGCGAGGCTGAGAAAGTCTGGAGTACAGCTTGGAGAAGGCTCCAGGCAGACCTTAGCACCCCTTCCAGTGCCTAAAGGGATTCCAAGAGAGCTGGAGAGGGACTTTGGAAAAGGGCCTGCAGTGACAGGACAAGGGGGAACAGCTTTCAACTGCCAGAGGGCATGGTTAGATGGGATGTTGGGAGTAAATTCTTCTCTGTGAAGGTGGCAAGGCCCTGGCACTGGTTGCTCAGAGAAGTGGCTGCCATTTGTCTGGAAGTGTTCCACACCATGACAGATGGGGCTATGCTTAACCTGGTCAACTGTAAGGTGTCCTGGCCCATGGCAGAGGGTTGGAGCTAGATGATCTTTAAGTACCTTCCAACCCAAACCATTCTATGATTCTATGACTCCAGTCCCTCAATATCTCTCTTTCTATTAGAGGCGCAGAACTGGACATGGCACTCAAAGTGTCTCTGCAGTGCCCAGCAGAGGACAATCACTGCTCTGGGCCTGTGGCCACACTAGGCTGGTATCAGCCAGGTACCATTTGCCTTCTTGCCCACCTGGGCTCATGATCAACCACTGTTAAACAGAACCCTCCAGGTCCTTTTCCAGCTTTCCAGTCACCCTGCCCTCCAACCTAGGGCGCTGCATGGGGTTGTGGTGACCAAAGGGCAGGATGGGGCACTGAGCCACCAGAATCTTCAGATCTCTGTGACTGCCAGCATCACTGTGCCATGACATCACTTTTTCACTAGAATTACTTTCACTTTTAGCACAAAGGTATCCCCCTTGCACTTGCCATCGGCATGGGAACTCACCCCATCTTTTATCAGGAATATTCTGTGTCACACAGACAGCTTCCCAGTAGCCTGCATGCTTACTCAGCAGATGGAAATTTCTCATGCGGCAGTGTTGTCCATCCTCCTCCCCAAAGCCTCCCGTGGTCAGAATCATGTTGGGTTTTATAAGAACAGAGTGGTGACCGTAACGCCTCAGGCCAGGAACTCCTGAGAGCCTTGCACATACTGCTGCAGGGACACTCCCTGCCATCCCAACAGGACCAGCATGACGAGGAGCTGTAAGCCAAAAAGAACACAAATACAAACCAAGGACTATATCTTAAGTAAGAGATTAACCATGTCGCCTTTTCAAGATGACCATTCATCTTTTCAAGAAAAAATTGAGAAGCAAATGGACAGTGCACAGAGATAATCTGATATGCCCTAGAAATCAGGATGTAATGGTTAAAACTACTACTGTATGAACTGTAACTTCTACTCTGCTCACTCAGCTACTGCAATTCTGAGACTGCTTTCATGGGGTGGACGTAAGACTGGCCAAGCAAGTGTCCTAAACTGCTGCAGCAAGATATGAATCACTGCAGTACCTTCAAATGGAGCACATGTCTGATTAAGATATCTGGCGGCATGAACAGCAAAGAACAGCAGAAAAAGGACAAACACCTGGAAACTGGTTTCAAAGTTTCTTGCCAGATTTTGATCCTACCTTCACAGAAACACTGAAATAACATTCTGAAGCAGAATTAACATTCTGTTAATTCCAGTGGTCCTACTATAGGAGAGTATTTCCAGTTATCTAAGTATTTTCTCTCCTAATATTATATCCCTTAGCATGAAGCAAACTCTCAGCACAGGACTCCAGCTCACCTATGCATTGTTTTATTTTAATCAATTTGGAATCTGTGTCCTCTTTGTTTTAATCAAGGGCTTTATTTTGGTGTTGTAAGAGATGATGAAGTGGAGGAGGAGCAGCTCACAGTCCATTTTTTGTATGCCAAAATCAGAAAAACTGCATGTACTGATCATTGCTTTGTACAAGACCCTACTTTATCATTTGATGAAGCAAGAAATTTCATCTCCTTGGGATTAAATGTCTTTATAAAAAGTGATTTTTAAAAATGGAGGAATTTTTTCATGTCACAAAATATACTTACCACGATCTAAGTCTATCTGAGAGGATAACTGGGGGCATTTATTGATATTATAGACGTATCTTTTGCATTCCCAGTAAAATATATCCAAGCATGGACAATTTACCAGACTTTGAAGGCTTTTGCTATCCGTTTTGAATACAACAGAGACAGCAGCAGAAAGACCCTAATCCTGTATCTAACGAATCAAATGTCTTCACTGTGATGAAGTCTGTTAAGCAAATATTAGATTTTTTTTTTTTCTTAATTTAAGGATACATATTATGCCTTTAGGAGCCTTCAAGGATTTAACCCAAGGACCAGTGACAATCAGTACATTAGTGCATTATATACAGACCAGTGACTGACACAATACATTAAATCTCATCCACATTCACTTAATTTCAATTTCACAACATCTTCAAATCTAATTGAAACACAACACATGGATTCAGTGGCCTTCTTGGCCTCAGGAATGCCATCCTGCCCTATCCTTTTTCAGCTGCTTTGCTTTCCCCCTAGAACACAGATTTCAACTTTCTCTTGAAGCTACAACTACTTGTGGTGCTATATTGTGAACACTATTTATATAAAACAGGTTAAAAATAACCTTCTGCTTTTTACCCTGAAAAAGGAAGCAAGCAGTCAAAACCAGGAATTTCTTGGACTGCTACTGCCACCAAATCCTTTTTATCTTGGAAACACAACCCTGGTCTTGGCTTTTCTCCAGCTGTACCACTTTCCTCTCATCTAAAAAAAGTGATACAGAGATTTAAAATCATTTCCGAAACAGAAATATGACAGGTATAATTGCACCCACAAGGGATAATGAAGTAAAGCACAGCTTCATGTCAGGCTCCTGAGTGGTCTGCTGGACAGGGCAATAAAGAAAACAGGACAACCTTTGGGAGCTGGAAGGAGAGAACAGTTCAGAGAGAAGAGTTCAGAGTATGCGGAGGCAAGCAGGAATAAACTTGAAAGGGAGAGCCCAAAAGCAGAAGGAGGAGCAGGTGGGCTGGCATTGCAGCCATGCACTGGAGGGGCTCATGTATGAACAAATTACAAGCTGTTCAGACTGAGAGGTTCAATAAACTGAAAGAATAGAAGTGATCAGAACCAGCAGCATTAGGCCATAGCCCTGGCCTTGGTTTGGACAGCAGAACTATTGTGCAGGAGTGGAGAAAGCTACCAGACAGTTGCATCCCGTCTGCCCCTTCCAGAACTTCAGCGTCTCCTAAAACCTCTCAGAGACGCCTACACGAGACAAAAGAACACTGTGAAAACTACTTGGTGCGTACCTGTCACACTGGGTAACAAAGGAGTCCAGGAAGGTTCCATCCCCTTTGATGCAGCCAACACAAAGTAATGAGAACATTTCAGATGCCATTCCTGTAGCAACCCCAAAGTAAAAAATAAATAAACAAACAAACCAAGAAAGGAAGAACCAAAAAAAAATAATCCCCTTCAAAATCTTAGAGCAAACAGTAGTAAGGACCCCAGAACAGAGAGGGTGACCAAATCAAATACCAATCCAGCCTAGCACTGTTTCCATCAATGGTCAAAATCAGAGGGGTAAAGCGGAATCAGAGAAAGAACTGGTGGGTAAACATCTTTCTCACTCCAACTTTCAAAAATTTACAGCCCATGGATCTTCTAAGCAAGAGGCTGTGGCTTTGTATTGAACAATCCTTGATGGATTTTTCATCCATGAACCTACCCATCTGCTCATTGAACACACATAAATTCTTAATGTGCCTAACATGCATCCCATAGCTTAACTATATGTTGCGTGGGAAAGTTTTTCTTCTTGGAATCAGCTTCTCTTTATGCCTCTCAGTTCTGATCATAAGAGTGAGGTCTTTATATGAGGGGATTAAAGTTTCTTAAAGTTCATGGAATATAAAGGATTCCAAATAAATCACAGATCTTAAAAGGTGCAACACAGTCGGTGCTGGACAATAAAACATCATTTTCAGTCTGGCCTTGGAAACATTCTGAGGCATAAGCACAAGCAAAAGGAATGTACAGAAAGCCAGCAGCAATGAGAGAGTTCATTCTGGTGTTTATGGACATTAGGGAATTGAGTGTGTTCATTCCTGTGGGGTGGGATATATTCAGCCAACTATGTGACTAGCAAGCATAAACATGGATTTAAAAGGCACAAGAACTCAGGTTATCAGCTTCATTGCTCCAACCCATATTAGAAGTAAAAAGCACCTTTTGAAAAGTGACATCCAGAAATTAATATAAATACTGAAAATGGAAGAATCCACTATTAGTCCCTAAGAAAATTATTCCAAAAATGTTCTCCCTCCACACTGGGTGTCTATTTTACATTTCTTACCCAATTTGACCAAGCTTGTTTACAATAAGAACTGGACCTTACTTAATCTTTCTCACAAAGGCTAATTGTAGAACTCTTTGTTATCACATCATTTACTCCTGTGCATGTTTCCAGCTTGGATTCATGCACATTAACCTCCTTTGGAAGAAAACAATGCCAAGTCTTTACCTTCCCACCATATGAGCAATGGCCTTGACCTACAATTCTAGCAGACATTTCTAAACCACTTAGCAAACCTGTCACCACTCTCAGTCACCACTTTTGTATTCATATAGCAGAGAAGATCCTACCATGCTGGCAAAATAAATTCAAGCACATTCAATTGTTTTAATACTACAGTTATTAGATATCTAGACTTATAAATAAAGAACCATAAAATTGAAAGGGAAACTTCTAGTAAGTATTCCACAGGATATTTAGCTCAAAGTTACTATCTTGCACTTATTTTCACTTCTAGACTTCAAATAGTCAGAGACTTTGCCAGCAGTTAACATAAAAACAGCAAAGAACAGAGTCGTAGTTGAATTTCAATCATTAATACAGGAATGACTGTACAAAGTCAGACCAAAAAATATCCAGAATTAGTAACCTGTATCCAACAATGATAAACAATAAAGTACTCTATGGAAATGGAAGACAGCAGGACAAGTACATCTGCTTTGCCCAGGAATGCTCTCAACCAGCTGCAGTCAGGAACAGCACATCAGGTGTATATGTATTCAGTAATCCTTAATGGATTTCTCTTTCATTAAAGTAATTGTCCCTTGAATCCATGCCAACTTTTAGCATGTATAACTTCTTTTATACTACCAGGTAGTTTGCTATGACAAGCCTGTCTCCTTGAGAGACTGCCCACAGGAAGGAAGGAACACGATCTCCTCTTCTAAGATCAAGGAGAGCCTTCTTCCCATGCTGCCTCGCCAGGAGCTCCCCATGGCCTCTATGTTAACTAAGCTGACCAAGGTCCTTTCTGCCTCCATGGACACCTGTGCCTCAGCAGCTCTGTACAGAATTGCAACCATAAGAAATTGCATATACCTTATGATATCAAAGCCAGGTCCCTGATCTTCAGAATAATGGAGGGTTACCTCATACTCATCAAAAGGCTCCAGAGTCCGCACTCTTTGCTGTTCATCCTCTGGAATACAACAGGAGAAAAACTCATTCATATCCATGACACTGCACTCAGTCCAGCCCTGAAAGACATATCCCTCAAAGTTATCACCTCTCGAAGGACAGAAACCCACTTCCCACAGGAAAACAAAGACCCTAAATTAAATACCTGCATGAGCTACTAAGACCATCTAGCTAAAGCAAGAGCACCCCAAAAACTGGTGAAAATAGATCTCTCATCTGTAAATTTCTTAAAAACTTAATTTATTACATCAAAAGTCTCAGAGGAACCTATTAATCCCATATGAGACAGAAGGCTGCAAGCTGTGAGGTGCCCCAGGGAGGCAAAGATTTTGTTTCAGATAAGCATTGTTAAAGTGAGAGGCATGGCTGTAAAGCCAGGCTAGTGTGAATTCTAAAACCTCTGCCTCGGGGAATGTGCCCTTCGAGCCCTGGAAGAGTTGCCCCAACCCTAGACCCTCGTAGGGTGGCAGCCCAGTTCTGATTGGGTTTGAGGCCCTGGGCTTTCTCCCTTGCTGTGTTCCAAGTGGTCCCTGACCTTGAACTCCACCCTGGTTCTGTCCCTCAAAACCCATCACCCTGCCTCTGTTTGGGGCTCTCTGTCTCTGGATTTGAGTTTGTTCCCATGCTGAATAAATGGTTTCTGGAGCAGAAGCCTGTCTCATTGGTGTCCCATGCTGGCTCCTGGTAACTGTAGCTTCTCTGGACCCTGCAGCTGCAGAACTCAACAGCAAGCCAGTTGGAAGCACCTTCTAATGACGAGTCATGCTACCAGAGAAGGCAGTACCTCAGCCTCAGCCCTGTTTGCTTCAACCCATAACTGACCAAGCACTTAGTGCTCCAGTCATCCTCAGATAAATCATGCTGCATGCATGCCCTAGAGCTACAGGTGCTCACCTTCCCCAGAAAGCGCCTCTGCTGTGCCTCACAGTCAGGGTACTGTGCCAGCGAGTGCAGTGCTGTGTTCAGCTGGCTGAAATGCTGCTGCATGACATGTCCAAAGGGGTCCTCTGGGTGTACCTGCTCATACATCAGGAAGCATGCCTGAGGGAAATGCTCTGCTGCCCACTGAATCAAGGCATCTGACCTGTTGGGAGATTGTGCATAAGAAATTAAATTGAGGGCTCACTCATCATACGACAGATGCAGTGTATCTTCCTGCAACAGCATAAAGCTGCTATTAAGGCATCCTGACAAATGGCAATACTCTAATGAGAGTGCTGTGCTGAACATCTCCTCCCCATCTGCAGACAATTCAGGGGATGAGAACAACAAAAACCTCAAAGTTGCTTATATGAGATTTTTCTTCTTTTTTTCTTTCCTTTTAGGATATCATGTGGACATCAATTACATCATCATACTTACAATGTAGGGAGCTATTTGAGAAATCACAGAATTCCCAAGGCTTTAGTTTCAAGATAACAGGTCTCTGAGCCTAACGAGATGTACTCAGAGAGAAGCTTGCTGTTTTCCTTTTACCACTGGGTAAGAGAGGAGAACCCCTCTGACCTGGTGTTCTCCATGTAGGTGAGCACCACCTCTGCGATGAAGAGGGTGGGGATTTCCTTGTTCAGTCCTGCTTCCTCCAGGGTTCTCTCCAGCTCAGACAGCTCTGATAAATCCACTCCCAGTAATTTATAATCCACTGCGGAAAAGGTAATGGCTCCTGGGAGACAAAAATGATACAACCTCACTATGGTGCTGCTGCAATACTGAGACCAAAAGAGACAAACATGAAAATCAGACCCACAGGCAATCACTCACAAGTCTATGTTCATTAACTATATTTCTCTGGAACACATACAAGAAAATCCCCATCACTATATGACCCATGAAGAGATAGTGCCATGTGATCCATTAACTGCAGGTCTAAAACTCCATTATTCCTAATGCAAATTTCACCTACAGATTTCTCAGAATTATTACACTTACTATAACAACAAAGCTTTATTATATTTACTTTAAGAGAATTTTATAGAACCACTGTAATTCAAAATCAAAGCTAAAGGGCTCTCATTTATACATCTTTCACTTTAGGCTAAGAAAGCAATATTGCTTTGATAGCATTACAGTGGTTTCCCTCACAATCAGAAAATCATTCTCAGGTTTCCTAGGCTTGGTTGGTTTGTTTGTTAAACAGATTTCCTTTCTGTATAATGGCATTGAGTCCCAAAACTAGCTAGCACAAGCTAGCTCTTGGAAAACACCAGGACCTGACTCACAGATCACCATCCTCAGAAATAAGTTCCAGTTTATGATCTGCAAGCATTAGCACACCTCTGGACCCCATCAGAATGTGATAAGTTATGGCCTGTTGACCTTTTCCGTCAAAACCACATCATTAACAATGCAATCTGTAAATTATCTTTAGAAATCACCTACTCTGTCTCTGCAACCCAACAGCTGTATCTGTCCTGAGGACAGTTAACCTACACTGTTCTCAAAGGCATACACTTCCAGAGGCAAAATGGCCTTCTTCAGACGTCCATCAGTGTTCCTTTCTAATTTCTTCTAACTTGTCCATCCACCCATCCTTTGCTGACCTCTGCACACAGAGAAAAGTGTATTTCCAACTATCTGGCAACTTCCTTTAACTACCTGAAGATTCTTGATATGGACAGAGATCCTTGCTGCAGGATTCCACCAGTATTAAAAATGTGAATGGATTCAGGAAGAAAATGAGTAAGCTCATGGAAGAGCTAGTCATTAAGATCTGGGAGTCAGGAACTCACACTCTATAGCTGTCTTCCATCTTTATTTAAATAGATTAATATCACCTAAATGCAGTGGCTTACATATATCCCTATTGCATTTCATTCCATGTTTTGCAGACCATTTGCGTACTTTGGCCACCTCCTACTCTCATTCATGTTATTGCAAGTCCCCACGTTTCCTGCAGGTTTAGGACATTTCATCTTCTATAGCACATCATCTAGAGCATTACTGGAAATCCTGGAGGAAAACAGTTACAGGAGAAACCTCTAGTGATCCACATAGTTTACATTCCTCCTTTAGCTGCTTAGCACTTGGTACAATATTCTGCAGTAGTTTCACAAGACTCATTTTCTCCTGCCTTGGAGGGCAAAAAAAATCAGGAGACATAACAACTAATGTTTTATTACTGTCAAGACACCTAAGAGTCAAATATTCTCTCTTATTCATCAAGCCCGTAAGTCATTGTATCATTTAGGGTGAAAGGGACATTTAAAAGTCATACTTCCTCATGGCAATTATCTGTGTCATGTTGCTCAAAGCTTTGTCCTGTCAAGACCTATCTCCAAGGCTGAAGATTCCATCACCTTTCTGCTACCATTTTTTTCTAGGCAATCTGTTCCCATTTTTAACTACGCATGTGGAGCAATCTCCCCCCAACATTTTCATTATACACCACTGGAATTTCCTTTTTTTGCAACTTTCAACTGTCCCTTGACTATTTGCTTTATGCCTTCAAGAAAAATGTGGCTGTCTTTTCTAACCTCTCTCAATAGGTAAGTTGAAGAGTGCTGTAAGACTCACCTCCCTCCCAAACTCCTCCCCATACAGCTGAACAAACCCAGTTCTCTCAGCCTCACCTTCTACATCATCTGCTCCATCACTTCATCATCCTCATCACCTTCCACTGGACACACTACAGTTTGCCACTGTTTTTGGACCAGTATGCTCCAAGTTGGACACACCCTTTCAGAAATTGCAACAGAAAAAACCTGACCTTGGTTTGATACAATCAGCTCCTGACAAATCCATCCTGGCTTCTTGTTATCTCCCAATACTTACAAATTATTTGTTTCAACATTTTTCATGAAATGAACATCCTTTTCATCTAAAATTACATAGTTCCCCTACCATAATCTCTCGTTTTTTGAAGGCTGAAGCTATGCTTACTTCTTCTAAACATTTTGTACAAAAAGAAATCTTTCATGAATGCCATACCTAATCCTTCCCCTCCAGTGTCTCCCACCAGTGCTGACAACTCTTTCATTCCTTTGATCAGAGCAGCTTTTTGGCATGCCACATTTGGGAAATCTACCTCATATACCACAGTGTGATGCAGAAGACCTATGTCCTTCAAACGGAAGTATAAGGAATCAAAGCCAGCACCTAAAGATAGGATCTGCAGAGAAAGTATCAGAAAAAGTTATACTCAAGAGAAAAAGTTATACTCAACTCTAGCAGCATCTTGAGCATCTAGGTCTGAAAAATATTAAATATCATCTGTAGAGTGACAAAATCAGGCAACCTTCTGCAAGAGGCAGAATAATTTTGTGTGGATATTGCCTGCTCCCAGATACTTCTGCCAAAGTGACACATGGACAGCCACAGTACTGACAGTCAGATTTCTGTGCCCTGCTGGGAATGGATCCCAACAGATGCACTAACGAGTTCTGCCCAGATGCCAGAAAGACTTTACACACATTTAGAGATGCCAGAAGCCCCAGAGAAAATGTACCTGTGTCCTGGGTAAGCTTTGTGTCTTCAGCAGGAAGTCATGAACACAGTGATCTACAGCACGGGCACGGATGTAATAACCCCTGTAGAAAAAAATTGAATTGTAATCACTGTCCAGGAACCCGATTTCTCCAGCACTGGAAACTTCAATTTTAAAAAAATAAAGATTTTTTTTTTTTTTTTCCTCTGAGCTTTTACTCAGTAATTCCCTGTTTACAGACCTGCACTGGGAGGTGCACTGTACTGTCATCTCTAGAGCTTGGTAATAAATACAGATCTCCTGCAATGTGTGCGCATTAACCATCAAGACAATGAATAACCCAGAAAAAACATGCAGGTATCCCAGCTGGACCTGTTCTGTTTTGCATAAGCAAATATTTGCTGAATAAAAATGTATGAATCTAGACAGTGAGGATGCTCCCTAGCAATGCAGATGGCTGACACCCGAGTTCCTGCCCCAAACCATATGCCGTAACAACAAAATGATTGAGTGTCTGCTAATGTAGTGAGAAGGCAACAAAAAAGGGAGGAAAAGCAAAGTCAGGAGAGGAATTTTGTTCTCTGGTTTTTGAATAAACAGAACTAAGTCAGACTAACTCCTGGAAAGTATTTACCATTTCCCTAGTCTGGCATGGACTGAAGTTTCCTGTCATTCTCTTTTAGTTTCATCCTATATCCACCTGGCTATATTCCAGCCCTTATCACCCCTTTAACAAGCACGTTATCATCTTCATACCTAACAGGGACCACACAGTCTAAGATGTCCCAAAATTGTTGATAAATGCAATACAGACCCCCTCCTGTGAATTCAGCTTGGCATGCCAATGCTGTGTGACAAGTCAGTGCAGGTTTCTTGATGATCCACACCCATCTTCATAGGCCTGCAAGCCGCTGCTTGACCACCACTTTTGATTTTCCCTTGAACTTAACTCCTTTGGCTATTCAGTAATTTGGATTGCATTAAACTACTCAACTTGAATTATGTAAATTCCACAATGTCATCAGCCTAGAGCCCTCTGCAAACATACATTAAAATATTCTTGTGCCTTACAAAGCTCTGGAGAAGTCCTCCTGGTCAGATGCCGCTGACTCAAAAGATAATGCTTCCCAGAGCCACCAAATACCTTACAGGAATTGTAACACACTGGGGAATTAATGAGAAAACTACTGATGTTTTTACATTATCAGTATGTTTTAAAATATTACAAAGTTTTCAGCAGCATTGAACACTGGCGTTAGGAACCAGTCTGATGTATTTTGCTCAGGACAAAGCATTCAGTTTTGGTCCAGAAGCCATGTAACTTTATACTAATAGTCTAACAAGGTTACATGACTGAGACAGTGCACTGCACGTTGCCACTCTTCCACTCTGTGTACTTTGCCTAAAATGCCTTGCCCAACTGACAGCTCCAAGCACGGGGGCTTGTGGTGGAAGGGAGCTTTAGCTGCTCTCGTTCCACCCTCCTGCCATGGGCAAGGACACCTTCCACTAGACCACACTGCTTCGAGTCCCATCTAACCTGGCCTTGGACACTTCCAGGGACGAAGCAGGCACAACTTCTCTGGGCAACCCGAGAGCCAGGGCCTCGCCACCCTCTCAGGGAAGATCTCCTTCCTGATGTGTAACCTAAACCGACTCTCTTTCAGCTTAAAGCCATTCCTCCCCCTGTGCTGTCACTCCTGGCCTTCCCAGTCCGAGAGGCCGAGATCCCCTCCCGTGCCGGGCGGGCACAGGGGCCCAGCCACGGGAGCAGCTGAAGGTCCTGCGAAGCGCTCGCTCCTCACCGGTGGATAAGCGGCGCTCGCCGCCGCCGCCGCCGCCCCGCCAGCAGCCGCAGGAACCGGTCCTGGATATAGCCCCGCGCTGCCGCCGAGCACTTGCTGACGGCGCTGCTGCCGCCGGTGCCCTGGACCTGCTGGGACAATGACACGGCGCTGTCGCTTCCGACCAATATCGATCGCATCCCGAGAAACGCACGGGCCCCCCGGCGCGGGATGGCGGGGCCGGGCAGCGCCAAGAAGGCTTCGAGGGGAGGGGACAGCAGAGCCCGCCACCGTCGAATCCCTCTCCGCCCCAGCTTCCGCTTTCCCTCGCTCTCCGAAGCAGCCGGGCTGAGGCTTTCTGGGCCGTTCCCCGCGGCAGCGGGC